AGGACACGGAGCTGGGCCGGGACACGCAGCCGCCCTTCCCTCTCCTTCCTCCTCCTCCACCTCCTCCTCTTCCTCCTCGGGCGGGCGGGGACGAAAACGGGCGAAGGTTGTGACAGCCGCTTGATTAAATCAGGTCTTTTGTAGAAGGCTCGTAAGGGGGGGGTTTTGTTGGAAGTCTGTGGGGCACAGCGGCATCGACTTGACTCAGTAAAAGCGGGGAGGGTTCTTCCTTCCCGGGAATTCTGCTCAGCTGTATCGTGAATGGGTGAATGGGAAAAAAAAAAGAAAAAGATTTTGTTCCAAATTCTGACTCTTCCGAATTATGGAAATGGTTCTTGATACACATCTGAATTCTGGCTGAACGGCATCACAAAGCCACGCCACGGCAGCCCGTCCGTGCCTTCCGTCCGTGCCTGTGCCGCTGCTGTGCCACCCGTCCCTCCCGGGAACGTGTTCTTCCATCAAGCCATGTACTGACTGATCAAGATTCGGTGCAGGCAGGCGAAATACATTTTCATATGTCACATTCAGTACTTAAACAGCAAGCAAATGATGTAAATACGTCCAAAATAAGTGCTTCTTGCCCAGCTTCTTTCTTTGTGTCTTTTCATCATCATTTATATGTCTAAGGGTCTAATTATAGGGGCTTGGGTTGCTAGGCAAAAATTTAGTATTTTTGGAAACTTCCTGTTAATGCTTCTTCTGAAAACCAATCCAAAGCCATTTCCTGATAGTCCATGTACTGTGTCAGTTAAAATTTTACACTGTTCAGAAGCAGTTCCCACCAAAGAAGCAGGCATTATCTCTGCTGTATAGCTGACCCATCATCACTGAGTTTTTGGACAGCACCTAACTGACTTACAGTCTTCCCTCCTTTGGGAAAAAAACACTCAAAAATCCTGTGTGTGTTTTAGAACAGTGTTAGCACTGTACTCATCTATGACTGCCACAAGTAATAATAAAGTCTCCTGGAAAGGCTTAGATAAGGTGGTCTTAGAATAACTGCACAGTGCCAATGCTAAAAGAGAAAATTACTTTTTATTTGCTCTTCATTCTAAAGTGCATATGATTATAGAAGGTATTTAATTATGCATAAAATTAAAACAGCAGCATGCATGTTCGTTTTGATTGTAAATTGTGTCAAGATCACCACTGCATCTGCTAGGAGAGGCCTTGAAGTGTGAGGGTAATAATGTAGGTTTTGTGTCTTTGATGATAAAAATCCTAGATTTTCTTCTCAGCGTGGTTTTTTGAGTTCACATCAATCAAGACGTTACTTTCTTTCAAATCTTCTCCAGAAGCAGGAATAAAGTGGAAAATAATGATGTTATTTGATCCTGGTTTTTACGATGCCAAGAATCGATCTTTAAGAGAGTCAGATAACATCTGTCTCTATTAATCATTCACAGAGACTTAGAGCATAAAACCCGTGAAATCCACTCTCCTACTGAATAACTTAGAGTTCTTACTGTTGTAAAATAAATTGTCCTGCTTTAAAAGAAAAAGAAAAAAGAAAAAAAAAAGAGAGAGATGTTCAGAACTGTGTCTATTTAGGTTACAATTATTAATCTCTTCTTGTTGCATAATTAAATATAACCTACTGCTTTCTCTCCTTTTATGTATACCTCACCCAGGAGCCTTGCATGTTCTCTGATTGTTCCTGCTCTGTGACCATTATGGTACACATGCAAGTGCACTGATCTCTGTGTGGCTACTCAGATTTAACCAGTTACTGTTTTCTAAAATTCAGCTATGTTTTTCTAAAAGCAGACACACTTTTGTTTGAAAGACAGATTTTAATTGTTCTACTATCAAATGTCCAAATCTTCATAGAGATCAGGAAAAACTTCAACTAAGTCAGGTTGCTCAGAGTTGTGTCCAATCTGGCCTTGAATGTTCCCAGGGATGGGACATCTACCACCTCTCTCAGCAACTTGTTCCAGTGTTTTACCACCCTCACTGTAAAAAAAAATATTCCTTCTATCTAGTCTAAATCTATCCTTTTTTAGTTTAAAAACATTAACCCTTGTCCTGTTGCAGGACAGGCCCTGCTAAAGATCCCAATGCAGGCTGCTGAGGGACACCACATCTGGACATGAAGCCTGCATCTCTCCAATTTAGAGAGGAGGGTGTTATGGAAGCCTGTATCAAAGGCCTTACAGAAGTCCAGATGTATTACGTTCATAGCTCTGCCCTTGTCCACTGATGTCATTCCATCATAGAAGGCCATCAAGCAGGACTTGCCTTTGGTGAAGCCATGTTGGCTGTCTGAAATCACCTCTTTGTTCTCCATGTGCCTTAGCATAGCTTCTATGAGGATCTGTTCCATGATCTTCCTAGGCACAGAGGTGAAGCTTACAGGTCTGTAGCTCTCAGGGTCCATCTTTTTACCCTTTTTAAAAATGGGTACAATGTTTCCCTTTTTCCAGTCACCAGGAACTTCACCTGACCACCATGACTTTTCAAATATCTTGGAGAGTGGCTTGGCAGCTACATCAGCCAATTCCTTCAACACTCTGGGATGCATCTTGCCAGGTCCCATAGACCATACATATGTTCAGGCTCCTCAGGTGGTCATGAACCTGAAATAAGTAGGTTATATAGGTGATAACCAAGTTGAAAAATACATTAACTCATTGAATTTGACCACAGCTCTGAGCTCTCGTAGCTTTGAATTTGGACTAAACAACAGTAATTGCATGACCAGTTTCAGGCAGTGTGTGCATGTTTACTTTCTGTCAGGGTGTGCAACAGCCAGGATTCCCTGACTTTCACAGAGAAGCAGTAATGGATTATGGACTTCCCTCTGTGGTCTTCCTGGTTTATTATTAAAAAAATTAATGAGCCAAAAGCAGACAGTGAGAGACAACCAAAGCTTCAAAGTATACATAAATCTCCACCTGTGATTCTGAAGTTATGGTTAGGATTTCTACAGTGACCCCTGGGTTTTAATGAAAAATTGATAATATGATGACTCTCTCATGAAATTTGGTTTAAAAGTACAATGTTGGTGAGGGTGAAGTGTGGAAACCGAATAAGGAAGAGCAAAAAGAAGAAAAGAAATTTCAGAAAAATAAACAGGCTTGCATAAATACATTCCTTAAGGATAATCTTAGAGAATGCATGGTATTTCTGCCAATAAGCAACCCTATCAAGAAGTAACAGCAGGGTGTGCAAACTTCTGAACATAAAGCTGTGAAATATTTCAGTCCTGGCCTGTGTTTTATCCTGCTCTCCTTCCTCTTCTGTGCAGGTCTGCACAGTGATTCCTGGCCATCTCCACTGAAGGTGAGTTTCACCAAGGTCTTCAGAGGAAAAAAAAATAGATTATAAGCTGAGGGACATAAGAAATGTAATAATTTGATATGTTCACTAAATTATCTGACTAATTTCATATATCCAAAACAGTCTTGAGTGGCTCTGCAAAAAAAAAGTTGGCAGCTGAGGGACAGAATCCTGCTTGGAGTTTGAAAATCCAACTCAAAACATAGAGGAGGTTGATTTGAATACTGGTTAAGCTGACATGTTCCTTAACAGAACAGGATTATGTAAAGAATTTGGGATAGAGCCAAGCACTGGTTTTGGAGAGAGAAAAAGCAGCAGCTGGGCTGCTCTCTGGCTCTCAGGAGAGCTGATCTTTGCTCTCTGCTTGACTCACTGGGGTAATTTCTTGTATTTATTGAAAGCTTTGATATTCCTGAAAGCACTGTGCAGCCTCAGCGCTGTGTACAAGCAGGAGCATGAAGAAACCAGTTATGTACTTCTGAACAATTTTCTGGTCGATTGGACAGGAGCTGAAAATGTTGTGCAGCTGTGATTTGGCTTCTGCAGGAAGGCTTGTACAGTAGGCTGGTTATTGTTGTGCATCTCTTAAAAATCTGGTGGCTGAAATTCCCATGTTAAGAGTAAGTCCTCGGGTCTCTTGTCTCATATTACAACAAAAATCTGGTCTCTGAATCATGATTTATAGACTTCAACCAAAGAAATACTGACAAACTGAGTGCTCATTTGTCACGTGTACAAATTATAAGAAAAGCCTTGAACTGGAGAATGAAAAGGCACTTTAAAAATATGAGTCAGGGTAGCTTCACACATTTATGGGAGAGGTATTTTTCTTTTTGGAGAAGATGGTGAAATGAATCGGTTTGCACAAAGTTCTGCAGCAAAGGCAGAAGCTGAGAGGCTGGGTCTCCAGATTCCTGGTCACCTCCCTTAGCCCCAGAGCTGCCTTTCTCAGTTACAGCTTACTTCTGCAGAAGATTAAATGTTTCTTCTTTTATTTCTCCTTTACGTTTGGTTATTCAGCAGGGCATGTCAGCTGCAGCTCTGGGCAGACGGAGCGTGCCGGCTCCGCGCTGACCCCACGGCCGCGGGGCTTTTTATGGCTAGAGCCTGGCTGCCTTGCAGTCAGTGGCAAAGGTCCCGTTGGCAGTATGACCAGAGTTTCAGTTACAAATCCTAAATTAGCACTCATGGATGATGACATTATGGCTGGTCAGAGGCACAGTGCAAATTTTGGAGCTATTGATAACACATATCAAAGCCGTCATATGCCTTGGATGATTGCATTGGAGAAATGGGAAAATAAGTCCATATGTGTTTGGCTCTGCCCACATTAACTGTAAAGGCAAATTCTAGATACTTTCCCAATTCCTGTGGCACTGGCACTGTCCTTGGAGACTTAGAAAATATGTTTACGAGCTCTTCTTTAATTTTACTGGGTACCATGTCTTTAATGGTCTCAATATGTATTTCATTATAGAATATTATTTTATCAGCTTTTAGTAGTTGCTTTCCTGTACAGTATTAGAAAAACAAATATTTCTGGCAGAGTTAAAAAAAGACACACCAAAGATTATTTCCACAGTGTTATTAGAGCATGGCCTGATGACAGCCTGGAAGCAGAATTTTCTAAAGAGAAAATCTGTTTCTGGCCCACATGGCCAGAACTGCAAACTTCCAAACTTATGGTTGACAGGACAGAGAAGGACTCATGGTGAATACAATACATAGAGTTGTCTATTCTGTGTGCTTTCTGCTGTGGGCTCTGGGAGATGACTTTGTTGGCAGCTCAAACAAGTCTCCATGAAGGCAGTGAGGATCAGATAAGACTGCCTGGATAGTTGTGCAGCTTCTTTACAAGGAAGATTAAAGAGGATAAGGCCTTAAGTGAGTTGCTCTGAGCCCTCAGCTGAGCCTGTTCTGAGGAGGAGGCTGGACCAAAACCTGGATAGACTTCCCCACAAATTAGTTTGTGGGCAAGAGCAATGTCAAGCTTGGCTCAGTTACACCTGGCTCTGTTGTGACACCCCATACTATGGTGGCTGTGTGGCAGGAGGGACATGCTGCTGGCATGGGCCACCCCAGGGCAGGAGAAGCCCCTCAGATGTGTGTTCAGAGGCTGCTGTGTTGTGTGGGCCCATGGCCCACCCCACTGGCTGTCCTCCTGTGGCCAACAACACCAGTTCTGGGACACTGGGCAGTGGTGCATTCTGCAGAGCACCTGGCAGAGGAAAGAAGTTGGACCACTGTTTCATTTGTCATGAGGAGGTAACCAGTATAAACTTGACTCATGGATAGTGCATCACCTGCTGAGAAATTCAACTGTTAGATTAATTGGCATGAATACGAGATATATACTTCTCCTAATTGGCTTCAGTGCAATTATATCCAAAGGCCTCTTTTGTGGTCATTCACAGAGCTTAATTGCTATAGTTTAATATTACAATTTGAAAAGGCCTGGAAGGAGAGCTGAATATTAGGCTCCTGATGAATTATAATTATCACTTTGTGTAGATGGATGGAAAACTTTTCTAATTAAATTATTCTTGTAACGTAAATTAATAGTGTGATCTGGATAAAGTACTTCTGATTTCACATCTAGAATATTTCTGAGAGCACCAAGTTTGTGCCAGAATTTCAATAAGCAGGTCAAATTGTCTTTTAAAAATACCTGACTTTTCACTCAATTTAGCAGATTATAATAGGTTTCTGCAGTGAAGATGTTCAGCAATAATAGAATAATTCAAACGTTGCACAGAGAATAAAATAAAATAGAATAGAATAAAATAAAATGAAACTATTCAACTTATTCTCTTAGTTCTACAAGCACAGGGCTGTCACAGTCTAAATGACAGTGATTTATAGTGTAACTGTTACACGTTTTCTTCCTGTATCATTTCATCTCCATCTGAGGATTTGTGGAAGACATAAACCATTAAGCTAGTACTTTGAAAACAGCAAAGCTCATTAGCAGCTCTAGAGAAGGGGGTGAGATGGGCAAGGAAGGTGCAGGTCATTAAGGTTTGAAAGCGAAGGAAGTGTGAAAGTTCTAAGAATTACTCTGCGTGTGAAATCTGTCTGTGTTCTGTAAAAACCCCATGATTTTTGTATAAGTCACATTTCTTTCTCATTAGGGAAACCTGCAATGAAGAAAGTAAACAGGTAAATGCAAAGGTCTCTACTGAAGGTGTCAGACTGCATTTCAAGAAGTGGATTATACATAATCATTCTCAGATGACCAGTAGCATCCATGGCCTAATACATGTAGCAGACACGTTAGGTGTTGGCAGCAGCCCTTTCCAACAGGCCTCATCAGACATTCAGTGTAAGTTTCTGGAGCAACTCTCTGTGACTCCAAGAGGCTATTTTGAAGGGGGTATAGATGGCCACTTTGTGTTAACGGATGCTGGGAATTTTGTGTCAAGGCACTTGCTGTGTATATGGAAGCCTGTCCCTGAGATTTTCTGCATGCATGCCCTCTGTGTCTGCAGTGCATTAGTGCAAACTGTATATATCAAAATTTGGCAGTACGGTATCTCTCTAAACATCGCATTAATCCTTCTGTCTGTCACTATGGTAACAAGGCTCCCTGTTGATGACTGAAGAAGAGCTGAACCATTAAGACTAAATGTACATGGTTAAAAAAGAAGTGAGCAAGATCACTTTGTGCAGTGCTATGGAGACACAAATGGTTGAAAATGGGCTAATTAGTATTTTCTATGCGTTATTTTTATTCATAGTTATAGGTCTGAAATAAAGCCTATTGCTAGAATGATCCTCAGATCTGATCTTTTCTTCTTCATATCTATTTATTGCACATTCTGCTGAACACAATGTAAAAAAATGTGTATTTTTTTCAGAAGTTTGTGTTCCATGGTATGTATTTGTCCCAGAAGGTGGAAAGACTATCTCACAGCTGCCAAGTACAAAGCAGATTAGAAATGTTACTGAATGTTTTGCTGCACATATTCTCTGTTCCTACCATGTTTGTAACATTGCCAAGGCAAAATCAGTAAAGTGCACACATTCATTGAAGAATCAATGTCTAACTGAGCACTGTTGGTTAGATCTGAGATTTTTTGAGAAGTAGTGTTGTGGAAA